TGGTTATTCCGCTTTCTATGTTTAATCACAAATTTATCACAGTGAATTAGTCAAGTCAGTTATAATACAGCACATTTAGAGCAACTGTCATTGCACCAAAGTGCTTTTAGTTGAAAAATAAGATTAAGATTCATCTAACATGTTTAAATATTGAGGTTAAGACCCTACAGTGTGAATTTATCAGAGTAATTTCAATATTAGGGATTAAAATCCTACACATATAAATAACAGCTTTACATGGAAATCGGTTAATTTTAGAGATTAATCCAATTAATTTAGAGCTTAAGTGATAGCTCTTAAAAAAGATCCATGGTATTGTGTAAATATCTAGTAGAGAACTGCATTTGTTTGATTGAAACATAGACTGCCTTTCAATTGCAACCTTGTTAAACTTTTGTTAAAAAAAAAAAAAAAAAAAAGAGATAAAATAAAGTTGTTTTTTTGAGATGACACACACACACTTCTATGTCCCATTACAGAAATAATCATTTAATTAGTATGTTAAGCTGTACACACACAGGTTCACATTACATAACATGACCAGAGTGTATGTCTGTGAAAATGCTAATTGTGTCTCAGAAAAGTAGCAAATTAAAAGTGAGCCAATCGCACTGAGACATTCACGCCATGCTCCATGTGGCAAATCAAAACACTGCGAGATGTGTAAGACATTTACACATGTTTAATTTAGCAATGTACAATCTGTGAGGAGAACCAGGGCGTTACAAACAACAACAAGGACCGGGCACAAGGCGACAGGAACCGTTGCTCCATCTCCACGGTGGTCTGGACAGTCAGTCAGCCCCCACAGCTCCTCTGGTAGCCGCTGCCAGCCTGGGCATGACTTTGAACACATTGTCCATGTTGACTGCTGCTTGTTTCAGGTGTGTAGTCCAGGAAGAATGGGTAGTGGAAGTGTGACAACAGTTGCACTTTAGCCTTAGATGACCCCGGGACGCGTCTTATTCGTCGTCTTTCTTCTCGTAGTTGTGTTTGATGTGTTTCCATAGTTTCTGCAACACATCCAGATAACGTTGGACGTTTTATATATAAACAAATGGGCACTATCAACTTGTCGTTCCGAAAGGACGTTAGCGCTCGGCTTTAGCGGGCTAGCTAGCTTAGCTAGCTTCGCCCTCTGCTTACAAGGTCAGCGGCTATAGAAACATCAAAGAACACACTTACCCCGCGGTTCAGTTCCTCAAAAAGAGCGTCGCCGCCTTGGTCAAATACCCGTTCAAACAACACTGCTCCAACCATGACGGTTACAGCGAAAGCAGACGTTTTCCTGAGGAACAAATTGTAGACGAGACTCATCTTCACGTCGTTGGTGTAAAACGCGCACTGCGCAGGGGCGGATGTTGCGTCAATACGCTTCCGGTTCCGGGTAATAAAACGGCTCCCATGCTGTGATGTTTGTGTGAAATATCTGTGCAAAGGGAAGCATTTAAGGCAGTATTTTGTTTTTTTGTTTTCCAGCAAACATCCCAGAGGACAGCAGATTATTCAATGGTAATGTATGTTCATTACGGTTTAAATTAATTATACACAAGGACTGAAATCTAACGTTTATTAGTGTAACAGTAAGCTAGTTAGCTAACTGCCCAAACTTACCAACAAAACATTGAGCGGTATATCCAGACAGTTTGTTAGAAAACTATGATCATTAATTATTGGAGACGTTTATTATTTATCCTGTGCACTTCTCAAGTTTTTTTTTTTTTGCATTGCAAATTTTCAGGTAAATAATATGCACATTCCTGCACAGCGTAAATATCGCTATTGCTTTCTATTACTTTTATAATTCCTTGCTGTTGATGTGACTTGTTGCACTTACCTCTTATTTTTGTCTTGCAACACTTTCTGTCTACTTACTTGAAACACTTGCTTTTTAAAATATGTATGTCTCTCTTTAATAATTTTTAAAAATCTGTTAGTGTTTACTGTAATGCACCAAAACTCATATTTAAAAACACACTTAGCGATATAACGGATTCTGACAGTGTTACCCCCAACTCACATGGTTGATGGACAATTAACGACCTGAGACTCGCATGCCTCGAGGCATGTGAAACTGTATGGATGATTCAGGATATTAATGATGGTGAAACTTTGTAAGGATAGATCTGAAAACAGTGTTATCAGAATAATTGGTGTCGGGATTCCCCTCCTCTGTTTAGAGATGACTGTTCCAGTTTAACATAGATGGGTTCCTTCATCCCTGTCTCAAACCACCACATTGCTGTCCTCTAAGGAGTCTCCCTTATTCTTCAGATGCAGGTAGACTTGTAAGTCTTATCCTGAGCAGTGTGCTGTCCTGTGTTGCTCCATGTGCTTGTGGAGTGGTTGTTTAATCCCCCTAAGGCTTAGTCGGTGCACTCTTGTCTGCACTGAGCTCCATATACAACATTGCTCAGCTTGTGTTTAGGTGTTTTATCTTTAGGGTGAACCAGTTTTTGTCTCTGAGCGTTGCTGTGTCGAAGTACCAGTCTGTTGTGTTTGAAGAAAACCCTTCCAAGTTTCTCAGACACACCAGGTACATAAGAGATGGCAGTGTTGCTCTGCCCTTCCTGTTCTTGTGCTGTTCTTTTTCACCTTCAGCGCTATCTGCTGATTTCATGAAGACCCAGTTGGGATGGCCACATATAGACAAAACTTAGGGTTTCTCTGAGCAGTGTTTTGGAATTTCCTGAAGCTATATAAAATGTGGTATTGATTCCTTTCATAAAAACAGTAAGCTATAGATGGTGATAGTTTTTTTTTTCAACACATCCCCCAGTTGTAGATGTCAGCATTACATATTTTACATTATATATTTTAATCATCTTATTCATCAGAGGATAAAAACACATATCCACTGTCTTTAGAATTTCTGTACCAACCAATTATGAGTTTTGACTGAATTCAAAAACGAAAAACTTTATGGGGCTAATCATTAAACATTCAGGGCTGTAGCCTCCGAAGCCCAGGACTAATGACATCACTGTATCTATTTACACTGTCAGTCTATTTCTTGACAGTTTTATTGCTTCAGACATTTAGTTGATTGTAGCCTCTTTAGTCAGAACACAATGTGGGTTCACACCAAGGCATAAAACATTGCACCTTTTAATCCAGTAGATGGCAGCAAAGAACAGCAGCTGTTTGTGTCTGTCTTTTCTCCATCAGATATGACTGGTGATTCTAAACATGCAGATTTTATGCCCCAATGACAATCAAAATTGCAGTCTTGGCTCGCTTCCTTTTTATGTAAATATGATTCTGGTATTGGTATCCCAAAATACCTGCTTATGGGCTTTACCAAGATGGCTATTGTGGGTCGAGACTTGCCTTGAAGGAGTGTACTTGCAGGGGTTTAAAGTGAAGCTATGTGCTCAGCTGGATCTAATTGTTGTGCCAAAACTAGGACAGTTTCCGCTGAGTTACTGCTAAACTGCAGCTAAACTGGGTGTGCGAGGTACTCAACAATGTGTATCAGAGAATCCCACCATCATGCAGCACGGTGGGAGCGTATGCATTGTGTTCTTTATTGTTTTTTATTCACAAACTTCTGTCTTTTGCTTGGACTTTTTTTCTTCATGAATCATTTTCTGAGGCAACATGGCAATGCTATCTCAGCTGAAGTAGTATCATACAGACCACACTTCCATAAGCACACCTATTCAGTCACTATACGCTGTCACAACACTGCTGTAAATATGTGCCTTTTTGCTCTTTCAGATATTCAAAAGGTGACCTCTGTGCACGATGGGGAAGAGGTACTACTGTGACTACTGCGACCGGTCCTTTCAGGACAACATGCACAACAGGAAAAAGCATCTGAACGGCGTTCAGCATCACAGAGCTAAAAAAGCCTGGTTTGACCATTTCAGAGGTGAGACTCGTGGTTGTTTGTGAAACCTCTGAGATGTGGTCGCAGTTGAAATCAGTGACGTGCTACCATTTGTTATGACTTATACATCAACCGGCCATAACATTAAAACCACCTGCCTGATACTGACTAGGTCCCCCCTCGTGGTGCTAGAACAGCTCTGAAACGTGAGGCAATAGACAAAAGACCAGCTACCACAGCCTGCTATGTGGGGCGTTCGGGGAGCATTGGTAAATTGTAGTCTGTCGATAAGAAAATGTTCAGCAAGTCATATGTTTTGCCTGTGACAAGGTGGGAAGTGTGACCAAATGAGAAAGTTGGTTGCAATGGTTGAAACGGCTACGTATGCAGTGATGTATGGCGTAGCTCTAACTTGGCTCCTTGCTGATGGAAAAGCAACTGGTTCTTTTTGAGGTGCCAGATTTGAACTAACTAAGCACTGGCCCTAGCACCGGCACGGAACTGGCACCTGGTTCTTTTTGGTGGAGAAGGGGTATGGGAGTAGATGCTCAGTCAGAATGAAATCAGGGGAGTTTGAGGGGTGGATCAGTGCTTTGGGCTCTTTGTTGTGTTCCTTGAGCAGTTCCTGAGTAGTTTGGCAGTGCTCTTTGTCCTGCTGAAGGAGGCGGCTGTCATTTGGGAATGCTGTTGGGGTAGAACTGACATGACTGCAACAACTGAAGGTTTTCAAGCAGAATGTGGCATTGTCATAATATGATCTTCACCTGTCAGAGGTTGTGGCTGATGGATGTAATGTTTTAGTGTACTTGTTGTGTTTTTCCTGTTAGGCAACCTGTTTATGAGATTGTGGTTGAAAAATTACGCGTACTTGCTTTTCATCATTTCGCTTTGATCTCCCAGCTGTTTAGTTTATGCTGGAAGATTAAAAAAAAACAACCAATCATTTGTCTTTTCACAGACGCTGCAACCATTCTATATGATGAGCAAACAAAGAAACCCTGCAGGAAATTTCTCCAAAAAGGTAACAGCAGTTGGACTAAACTTTTATTAATTATCAACCAGGACGTTGTGTCTAATTTCTTTGCCTCTTTCTTTTCAGGAATTTGTGATTTTCCTAACTGCAGGTTTTCTCACATGTCCGAGGAGGAGCTGTTTCACCTAAAAAGACAGGTGGAAGGTAAGCTGCAGCCACAGGATGGTGCTGTCCACCATGTGCTAACATTTCCAAGTGATTACTGTATATTTCAGACCCCCCTGAGGAATATGCCACATGCTTTAATACTCAGAACATTTGCAGTTTATGAATATTTTTTAAATTAAAATCATTTTTTCATATTACAAATCCTCTCCAGATTGCAAACACAATAGTTAGATACATAACGCTGCAGATGGTACCCGTCAGCCTGAACTTAAAACAGCAGACAACAACAGAAACTGTCACTACACAAATATCATTACTGTTTGTCAACCACATTTCATAAAAATGAGTGTGTACACTACCATATGTTGAGAAAAGTGAGATCGCTCTTTTGTCTCAGATGAAAGGCGGCGCAGAGAGGATTCTGACGACAGAATCATGCCTGAGCCGAGTGTAGAAGATTGGCTCTTGAGAAGGGAAAAGAGGCAATCTGCCCTCAGTAGCAAAGGGTACGCACATTCATTTTTGTTTCAACACTTAGCGCTACATGGTTAGCATGACTAATGGTTATTCCTGTTGATTTAGAATTCAACTGTTCAATTATTTATCTCTGCAGAGATCTAAAAACTAAGGATGACAATGAAGAAGGTCAGCCAGAAATTGACATACCTCAACAATTCCTCTCCATTCCCGACCTTCCGCCCTCACTTCTGCCTCCTCCTCCAGGCGGCTGGAGAGTCAAAGCGAACACTGAATGGGGCTGACAGACATTCACTTTGGGCTTCACGTCACTTTTAAGTGGGTATGTGGCATTAATGGAGCGTTTCAGAAAATCATCGTTATTAAGAGATGGTCTCTCATTTGCATTTGAAGGCTTGTCAGTTTGAAAGGTGATACAAGACAGCAGTTTATTAAGAATAAAATATATGAAATTCTGCATAGCAACAAACATTTTCTACATCGTCGGCTTTATTGCTTTAAAAGAACTGTTGATATTGTGTTTACATAGGTTTCCAAACAAGGTGGGACATTAGCAGTAACTGCACAAACAAACCCTCAAAATTGACTTTTTGACAACGTCAGAGCGACGACGTGTTGCTAATTGATGCTCCGTTCAGCTGCAGAGTGTCCTTAAAGTGACACTCCTCTGAGGAGTTACGCTGGAAGTCACGTCGTCCCAAAAGAAGCACGAGTGCTGAGCAGATGGAAATACTTTTTTTTTTGTATTGTTCTGTTGTGCATTAGCGGGGGAATTTCTGATGTCATGACTCACAAGTTTACTCACCAAATAGTAAAGTTGAGAGACT